AAACTGCAGCTGTTGTGGGGTGTTCCCTGTCTGCAGTGTTCAGTATCTATCAAAACTGGTCCAAGGAAAGAAAAGTGGCAAAGCAGCGACAAGGTCATTGGAGGGCAAGGCTCAATGAGGCTTGTGGGGGGTGAAGGCTGGCCTGTGTGTCCAATCCAACAGATGAACTACTGTAGCTCAAACTGATGAAAATCTTTCTGGCAGGAAGGTGTCAGAATACTCGGAGCATTGCAGGTTGTTGTTTATAGGGCTGCATAGCTGCAGACCAGTCAGGGTGTCCATGCTGAGCGCCTGTACCTCCAAATGCACCAACAATGGGCACATGAGCATCAGGTGAATAATTTTCTATGTGGTATAATTTTCTTTCATGCCACATGGATGGTCGGGTGCACTTATCTGGGGAACACCTGGCACCAGGATGCACTAGGGGAGGAGAGCAAACCAGCCCTACGCTGGCAATGTTCTGCTGGGAAACCTTGGGTCCTGCCATCCACATGGATGTTACCTAGAGATATACCACTGAAGCATTGTTGCAGATAATGTACACCCTTTGGAAACAGTATTCCCTGATGGCCTCTTTCAGCAGGATAATGCACCCTGCCACAAATAGTTTGAGGAGCACAACGATTTTGACATCTTGACTTGGCCTCCAAATTCCTCAGATCTCAATCCAATTGAGCATCTGTGGAATGTGCCAGACAAACAAGGCTGATCCATGGAGGCCCCGACTCACATCTTACAGGACTTAAAGGATCTGCTGCTAATATCTTAGTGCCAGAGATCACAGCACACCTTCCAGGGGTCTAGTGGAGTCCATGTCTCAGTGGATCAGCAGCAAAAGGGGGACCAATACATTATTTGGCAAGTGGTCCTAATGTTATGACTGATAAGTGTATATGCAAGTATTTAAAAGTGCAAAGCAGCTAACATTAGGTCATAACACAGATGTGTGAATCATAAAAATAGGTGTCAAACACAGGCAAAGTCACCCCCAAAGAACCACGGGTATCAGAAGTCAGAGGTCACCTTGAGGAACTGAAATACATCTGATATTACTAACACAGTTGGCAGACATTGTAACTAAAAAGTTCCAGAGGGCTTAATCACCACTCTGTGACACAGTCTCATATGGAAAAACTTCCCTGGCAGAAAAGTCTGCAGAGATTTGAGCAGGTTTGTTCTGGGAAACAGACAAAGAAGCCTCTAATCAGGAGTTCCATGATTATCCACCAGATGCTGTGAAGAGCCACCTCATGTGGGGTTTTGCTGTTTTCTCAGATTATATAACACGCATGAAACTCAACATTCACAGGTTATTCTCACAGGTGCACCCTGTGCTGCTTTTGCATGTTCATGATGCTTTTCCTCCAACTAACATTGATGATGTCCTCATTACCTGCACATGAGAACTAATTAAAGACAGATATAGAGCTCACTACACATTAATGTGATAAAAGTTTAGGTTCAGTTCCCATGTTATTAGACATTTGCAAATCTCAAGGTTGTAACTGTAACTACAGTTTATGGTGGATTTATTTTTTCCCCCACAACACAAGGGTACACCTGATTAAATACCCCCCTACTCAACTGGGGGACCCCACAGACTCAGTTGCGTTAGCTCTCACACAGTAGTTCTGCACTTTGCTGAGATCTTAAATCAGAGGTTTAAGAGCTCAGCTTGGCTTTTAGTTGTTTCCTGCCTGCTGGCACAATGTTGACATTGTGCTTTAAACAGACAGGAAGGCAACTTGAAGACAGATTTTAACAATCATCTTGTCTTTAAAATTATATGTTCTTACCCCAGTAATAACACAGTAGAAGGTATTATTAGAGTAACACTACCTATGAGACAGTTAGGAAAGGTTTCCTTAATAGCTGGCTTCTAAGATACATGAATATGGGTACTTTAAATGTTTAAGATTATTTTTGCACTTCCCACCTCACATTGGGATGGAGTGTCCATCATTCAAGAATGCATTAAAGCTCCAATAAAATTCCCAATGACAACTTTGGAGCAGATATTCACACTGCGTCTTATTAACAATTAATACATCAACACAGTACATTACATTGCCTACACTTGGACTTCACTGCAGCACAATGCGTACCAACGTGAAATCCCCTCCTTACTGTGTCTGTGCCCAATGGCAGTGACTGCTGGGAGCATCACGTTTCTTACCTTCTTGACGGATTTCAGTGTGGGGACTGCGGTGAACGCTGCGGAAGTCATTTCTCCAACGTTCATATTCACATCACTGCTGTTTTTGCTGACAGTCAACACGGAATATTTTTCCGCAACGTTTTCGGTCTCCTTGACATATTTCGTGCCCTGTTTAACCTCCGTCTTGCTGTCCACAACTGTGTCTGTCATTGCATCCGAGTGATATCGATACTGTTACTGGAGAGGAGAGGGGGGAACAAAAGCCGGTTCTGGATTGAGTTGAAACTAATACCCTTAGCTTCGCCTTCTTGCTCTCTTGGCTAAAGCTTCGTGGCTTAAAAATGACCGAACCGACGCTGAAGCACTACACCACGGAGCAAAGCTAACAAAGTAGCCCACTTCACTAGATATGACGCTTTTTTTCTCCCTTATCTACTTTCTAAAAGACTCGCACGGCCACTTGCTTCGGTCCTGCAGGTCTGCTGTCATCCACAGACGGCAACATCTCCCAAGGTGAGGGAGGGAGGGGGCGTTTTGTTGAGGCTGTCAGACAAACCAGTGGGCAGTGTGTAGGCGGTGATAAACCAGTTAGCTCCAGTGGACAGGAAAGTGACTGCTGAATGTGTAACGGCTGAGGCCTCGCTACCCATAAGAAAATAAATTACATAATTTATTCGTCATTTGTGAGGCTTAAATGTCAGATGTTCAGCACTGCAGTTTTTTCTTTTGCGCTGTTTTTTATGCTACGTGCTACACTTGACTGTTATACAGCCCTCTGTTAATCAGCGTAGCACTCTTAACACAAGCCCCGCCCACTTTTTAATGATTGGCTGATCGGGGACTAGCGTCTGCAAGCTACAGCCCCTGATTGGCAGAGTTTGCTAATCGCGATGCTTTACCTGGGAGGTCCTGTTCGGGGAAAAGGGGAACTGAAGTCAACCTCCGGCTAAATCTACACGACTACACATGACTACTTTGTAGTTTCAGCTGCAGTACTGAATAAGATAATTAACTGAATTTAAAATTCTTTAAGACTGCAGCAGGACCAGAATTCTGTATTTGCAATTTCAAAGGTAATAAGATAATAAAGGCCTTATATATCCTATATTTCTGAAATTTTTTATATGGGTCAAGAGTTATTTTCACCAGCCTTCTCAGGTGGGATGAGTCTAGTCTCCCCAGCACATTCATCATATTAATGTGAAATGAGGGCAGCCAACCAGACAGAATGTTTTCTTTACCATCTCCTGTTTCGTATTATAAATGTTATGCAGGATCACAGGCAGATGGCTAGCTCTGATGAATTGCTCTGTTGCAGTTTCTCCAGCTGTCTCCTTACCTGGCCAGATGTCACAGTCAAGCAGAGGGTGTTAATCAAATATGGAGGAATCTGATCCATGGAGTTCAATTGGGGAAAAGAAGGGCAAATCACTAAGACAGAGCAGGTGTGGACTCCAGGATTTGTAGGTAGCAGCAGCTTAGTGTGAACTAAACCTGTTGAAGAAAACGTTAAACTCGTTTGCTCTCTCCATTTGGCCCACGGGTTGTCTTTCTGTCACCTTAAACCTAGTTATTCCCCCCATTCCACTCTACATATCACTAGTATTTTGTTCTGCTGGAGTGGGTTTTCAGTTTCTTTCTGTAGGTGTCCTTTCGTTCCTCCTTGTGCTACACCCCCTCAGTTCTTCCTTGACCCCAAGACCCGAAGGCTCTCTTTTGATTGCATTTCTATACAAGGTCTATATCAGCAGGTCTCTGTTGTCTCTAGTGGGCCAGTGTGCATCAATCAATCATAAAACCACTAGAATGTTGGCAGGTAGGTATTTGTAATACTGATCAAATGTGACCTCTAATTTAGTTATTTGGAAGCTACTGTTCACAGAGTAAGACTTCCATAGACGTACAAAATGTACTCTCATCAACTTGTACAAACCCTACTTTGCTAGTCAGCATCAAACATCACTGTTACTCTACATATTAATTAATTCCCCACTTTTTCCTGATATTTTTATACTGTTCAAGGTGAAAAACCTGAACTTCATCCCCGTTTCAGTATATGTCACAATATAGTTTAAGTTCAACAAATGATTATCCACCTCCACTTCTGACCCCCAATTACTAATATTATGACCTTAGTAGTAGTCACTCAATCATCAGTTAGAAACATTTTGAAAATCTGGTAGTTTTAGTTTTGTTTTTTAATCAAAGAATCATATAATGAGATAACTCCTTACTCCTCATTTTCCTATGTGATAGCAAACTCAATATATTTTGTTTTGGAACTTTTGGCTACATAAAATATATTCACAAACAGCTTTTGCTTTGGGAAGCTGCGGGCTATTCTTTTGATTGTTTCAAAACATGCTGGTTTTGAAACAATCTTTACACCTATTCCCCATTTTTCTAGCAAAATATGAAAATGAGGGCTGGTTCAAGACTTTTGCACAATGCTGAATATCTCATTATGAACAAATTAAATACATGCGAGTAAAAAAAAAAAATGAAATAAGTGCACAAAGGTTTCACAGACTATACACAGAATTTTAATCATCCTTATCAAAAATTGAAATGTATGTTACTTTGTCCAAAATATCTGACAATTATACTCATGCAACAAGAGAAAAACAGTTTCTAATGAACATAGTTGTGAAAAAAAAAATCCAGCAAATTTCATCCAAGGCATTATAATGCAAACAAAACTACATGGCATTGGCTAAGACTCAGGGGACATTTTAAATAAATATATGACAGTCTGAACTCTACACAATCAGGGAGTAAAAAAAACCAAAGAAGAATCCACCTATAACCTTGAGTCACTTAATAAAATTTAATTGACAAAGGTTACATGAATACAATGTCAGAGTACTATTTAAAAAAATAACATTGCAGGACTGCATCTGACAGGTAAAAAAAATTCAAACAAAGAAGAAAAAACCACCTAGACGGACTGAACGATGAAGATGTAACTACGTGGATAAGAGTGCGTAAGGTGATGCAACACTGAACTACTTTTTTCCCAACAAACACCAACTACTAACTGTATAAAATGCATCCACACAACTGGGCAAATCAGTAGGTATTCCAAACACATTGGGGAAGTAATGGCTGTACAAAATCTTCACATTAGTATTACATTTCTGTTTTTACTCAGTGAACACAGGGCATGCTGAGACCACGCCTGCACTATGTGGGTTTAAAAAGATGAAATTCCAAAATAAGGGCGCTTACATAAAGAACAGCAGTGTAGCATCAATGCATACAGAATATCTCTTTTTAAAAAAAGAAAAGAAAAAAAAATACAACAGGTACCATTTACAAAAAATATTTAAACCAAAAAGCATCCACTGGTGACAAAAATCTCATTTTCAAACAGACCAGGATCTGACATGATGGCTTCATGGCTGTCATTTCCTGTCCCTAGCTTCGTTATTTTCAAAACTAATGCTTATGAAAATAAAAAGCTGGTCCTTAGTGCTCAACCAGATAAGCTGAGCATGACAGCATCCATTTTTTTTGGATGAACAAGGCCAGAAAAGTCCATAGTCTCAGCAGCCATACAGCCAGCTCCCTGGAAGACCAGTGTAGGAGTAGAGACAACAGAAAAAGCCCAGTGGTAGCACTGTGGTTTGGTGTATGGCGGTGAGGCAGGAGGAAGTACAGATGAAAGGAAAAAGTGGTGGCAGGAGGTCAGCTGCGATGAAGAGTCTCAGGCAGGGTAGAGTTCAGAAAGAAGTGATGATGTCAGTGACAGTGCTATGAAACTCGGATCATCTGAGCCACTGTCTCATCTGCTGCTGCCTGGGCGACATCCTGCTTTTGCCCAATCAGAAGGGCAGAAATGGGAGGTAACAAAAACAAATTGAGCTCATACACTTAAAATCTCACAGTTTTAAGTGTATGACAATTTGCAACAAGAGTTGCTATGTTCTTTCTACACACAGCTGCCTACCTGTGATAATCCCAGACCCATTTCCTTGTCCTTAGGGGAAAAGAAACGACCGCCATCTCCCCGCTTGCGCTGCATTGCATGACGATGGCGAGACTCGTGTAGATATTTCTGCTAGACAGGAAGAAGGTGGATCGCTCGCATTATAAATTTGTTTCACAACAAGCCCATCACTAAAAATCACACACAGAGTACAACACAGAAGAATTTAAATATATAGGGGTTTTTTCCCCCCTCTCAAAACACTCAAGTCTATAGGTTTGACAGAAATGGCTTACCCTCCTTTCCTTGGGAATCTTGCCCTCTGCTTCCAGCTTAGCCCGAGCCTGTCTTCTCTTTAGGATGCGATGGTACTGTTTGGCATTGACATACAGTGGCTCCTCTTCAAGCATTTCAGCCCCTGGCAATGGGATTCGCTGCATTGTGGGAACGCCGCCACCTCCAGGTACCATCTGATCGAAGGAGAAGACAAAGACACGGTGCTTAATATGTCACGCATTTTACAACAGATCCTATTCACAAAAAGACAAATATCAATCCATTCAAATCAAAGAAAAAAGAAAAAGTTCACACTGCTCTTCCACACCCATACAGATGTTTTAAGTCATTCTTATTTAGACTCCCCAACAGTTGCATACTGGGTCTCCACTGCCAGGAAATTTCACAATGTCAGTTTATTCTACTAACTACTAGCTTAAGGATGCAAGCTGCCCAACCTGAAAAGTCCAGAGCAAAATGACACAATGAAACTGACCATCAACTACTGTTTGTACAAAATGGATAGCATTCAAACACAAGCCAGATTTGGATGACCATTCACGTCATTAAGATTACAGTCTATGCAGTGAACACTGCATCTTTTAAATGTGGACTTAAATTCAAGGAACCCTATTTATGCTTTGTTGTTTTCAGGCAATATAAGCACCAAGTAAGAAATAATGAAACTTCCAAAACATTATTAGTTTTACTTATGAACAAAATGCTAATGTGAATTGTATTTAACATGGATACAGCCCGAGAAGAGCACATATCCAAAAATCACCTGTTTAGAAGGACCACAGGTTTACAGGGGGGTTAAACAAACCTGGACGTGTTCATTTTAACCAATGATCATTCATAAAAAAATATATGTTTAAGCCCATGACCTTTACCATACACCCATGTGAGAGTCTAGATTAGGAAAAACAAAGGTAATAAGGTGCTGTGTACCTCTGCACAGGGCCTTACCATGACCATTCCACCTGCATTGACCATGTTGCCAGAGACGGGCAGGGTGACGGTCACAGTGCCTTGGCCGCTGTTGGTGGTGTTGGTGTTGGCACTCCCTGCTTGTACAATCTGGGCACCTGCCAAGCTGGCAGCTGGAATTGTGATCATTCCTGAAAACAGATAATCATCCCAAAACTTTTTGAACATGACAACTCACCCATGCTCCTATTTAGAAAGTCTAAATAGCAGAAGTCAAACACAAATTGTTGAGGACAGCCTAGTTTACCCTGCTGCAAGACAGTACCATCTGCATTGACAGGCTGGTAGACGATGGTCTGTCCATCAGCCGTCTGTGCCACCTGTTGGCCCTGCACGCTGATCTG